CAGGGGGCGGGGCTGGCTGGCATGTGGTGCTGGGGGATTGAACCGCGGTCCCTGTGCTTTGCCAAGCTTGTTCCAAGTAGGTGCTTTAGACCACTCAGCCATCTCTCCAACCCTGCTTTATTTATTGTTGCACCATCTTGACCTTTTAAAACATATCTGGAGGCTCTTAGACATATGTAAGGGTTCCAAGTAATACAAATTAGCACTCCAAATGACTGCAACAATTAGGATGAGGTGCCATCCCAAATGACAAATGAAAATGTGAACAAATCGTTAAATCAGTCATAGTTGCTGACTACAGTGAAAAACATGACTCCACATCACTTCCCATCTGAAAATGCACATAGTATTTGCTGAATATTTACTCATAAAAAACAAGTCTTAAAGTGATTCCAAAGACAGAATGAGAATGTACACACACATTAGCACACATGTATGAATTCATGCCTGTGTCTTTACACCTATGTCTATTGATTCTTAGCCATAGAAAACAGGCTGAGTGCAGAGCCTGCCCTCTGTGCTGAGGAAGGACAGCTGAGGAAAGCCCCTGGCATACACAGGCTTCAGGAACTTCAGCTTCACAGGACTTGGGAGGCAGCAGAACGCATCTCCTTACAGGCTTCATAAGCAGTGCCAGTTATGTGCTCAATTGCCCTTCCCCTCACTCAACACTGCCAGGGGACAATGAGGTATCTGGCTCTTCTCACAGCACTCCACAAAATAAATATTCAAGCTCTTATCAACATGCTACATGAACATAACATTAAAAGGCAAAGAACTATCAAGCTTAGAAAATGAAGCCTCCTATCCCATATCCCCCACCCCTGGACTCAAGTCCTCAGAAGCTACTGTTAACCCTTGGCCCTTCCTTTGATTTCTTACCCACCTTTAAATATTGTTTAAATGCTATCTATTGATTAGCCTATTTTATGTTATACATTTTTATGAAGATGAAATTTTCTTCTCATACACACCTTCCCCCTTTCCACTTTCAATACAGATGTAACCCAATTTTGCTGAATTAGAACCAATCATCAGGTAACACTGTGTGCATTCCTTCCACTAAGTCACACTTTTGTTTTTCTGACAGTTAATAAATGCATTACCTCATTTGCAGGGACTGTATGTAACCCCATTTTCCTGTCAGGCTTTCTGTCACTTCCACTTTTCCCCCTGTGGATCTCTATCCCGGAACGTGAGGTCCTCCTATGATGATCTCAGGTGTGCGGCACTGCTACAGCACCAGGACTTGCTGTGCAACAGTCATCCTGGGAATTCCCTCTCCCACCTGTGTCAGATCTCCCATTCCCTGAAGCTTGTGCCTTTCTGTTTTGGTTTATGCAGCAGTTAACTGCTTGTGTCAACTGGAGTAAGAAATGCCCAACTACATTGGCTCAGCATAGTTCTGGATGTGGAAGATCAGCCCTAGGGAGGAGCATCGCCAGAGTGGGGGAGGTCTCGCTTCTGTTTTTTCAGAGGAGTGCCCATCTTTACCTTCACCTTGGACACCACCTGCTGGCTTCTAGCACACTCTTCAGCCTTCAGGCACAGAGCCCTCAAGCTACCATCAATGGCCATCCTCTCACCTCTTGATACAGACTCATACAGGGTACTGCGCTGAGCTACTGGCCTTCAACTGGATCCTTTGGATCTCCAGGGTGTAAACAGGCTTTTAATTAATTAATTAATTAATTAATTGGTACCTGGTCTCACTTTGCAGCTTGGACTTGTAGTGATCCTCCTGTCTCAGCCACACCAGTGCTGGGATTATAGGCATGTGCCACCACACCTGGTTTCAGCAGATAGCACATGGTTTGCAGCCGGCACAGCATGTGGCAGCAGGGATGGAATTTGGATCCTTGTGTTTGCCAGGCAGGTGCTTAGACAACTGAGCTACCTCCCCAGCCCCTAACATACCTTTTACACTCTTCTGACTCTGGGTAGCCAGGGTAAGCCAGTCTTGTAAATTCTTATGTATTTATAAATGCTGCAATAAACCTGTTTCTCTAGTAAGCACTGGTTGATACAACTCATTTCTTACTTGTTGGAGCAAATTCTCCTCCAACTCCTGAGAAATGTACGGGAGGTAAATATGAGGTCTACCATATCTAAAAATGCTTTGTCTCACATCTGAGTGATAGGTTAGCTGAGTATAGAACTCTAGGTTGAACATAAATTTGACTCCAAATGCTGAAGGCATTTGTAGATTTCTAGTTTTTATAAGGCACCTGATAAGCACAATGTGATTCTAGCCCTGAGATTTCAGAAAACCTGCTTTTCCTCTTAAAAGTTCTAGCATCTTCTTTATCATCATACCCAGAATTTTCATAATCATCACAATCATGTATCTAAGAATATGAAATATATATATGTATATATATTCATCAGACATAGAAACTTTCTAATATTATTTGAAGATTTCCTTTCCTCTTTTGCTTGCTCTTTATTTTTCTTGAACTTCTTTTAGTTGAATAACTCTTGGATTTATTCTTTAGTTTTCTAATATTTTCATTACTATAATTTGATTTTCTGAGAGACTTCCTTAATTTTATCAATAAACTATACTAAATGCAAGTGTCAAAAATAGAAAAGGCCTAGAAGATAGATTCTAGGCACTAATGTACAATAAGCAAAGAGTTGTGAATGGACATCTAATGTTAAAAGAAAAGTAGCTGCATTTATTGAAGATTATGGAAAGATGTGCTCAAGACAGATCTATGCTGACAGTGGTGCTAGGGCAACAGGAAAGTAAAAAGCACAGCACAGAACACAGATTAATCAACAGCTTACATTGGGTATGTAGGCGAGACTGACAAGAATGACCTGCAGTGTTGAGTCATCTCAACAGCTTTCAATGAGCAGGCATGTCCCAGAACTCACTCTATAAATTACATGTATGAGACGCATTCCATATTTATGAACCTTTAATAAGGTATGAGTGGGGAAAGAGTTCCTGAAGATCAGTCCAGAAGATCTAACACAGACATGCTCTGGCCTGTAACCTCAGAGGTTTCTTGAGTTTTTGTTATTTTGTTTTCTACCTCTCTTAAAACAATAGACAGAGGATTGACCCTGGGGCACTACCCAAATTCAAGTGGGTGAAGGTAAGTAGTCTCCTAGCCCCAACTGTGCTACCTGTGCTAGGGGCATTAGGACTAATTTTTATTTTCTTCATGTTTTCATGCATGTTATACAATAACTAGGAGACTTCTGAGAAGATGTCAGAGTGGTAAGCAGCAGAGATAGACACTGAGATTTGCTGTCCAGACGCAGGAACACAGCACTGGGAAGAAGAGGAAGGATCTGAAGTGAGAACTGAAGCCCATGAGAAGAGAAAAGAGAAACTTCAACGAAGGAGGTGGTGGCCAGTGTCTTCTGTGTGAGTCGGGATTCACTGCATGGGAAGAGCGGTTCAAACCTGCTGACACCTGGTGACTGCTGGCAAGGCCAGACAGAGGCCTCCACCGAGAGATGAGGCAGTGCAGCAGAGGAGTGGATGCTGTGGGCTGCACTGAGTGCTGAGTGCAGCGGACCTGACCATCCCACAGGAAGGGTGACTGGCCAAAAGCCACCTTGGAGGGGGCCAACTGAGCGTGGAACTCGGAAGAACTGCTGGCTCCAACCAGCAACTCCCTGCTAAGTTCAAGCCCACACAATGTGCACTGAGGGCTGCATGCTGAATGGGTCTAGTCCCGGCCTCATGGCCAAAAACTAGCCTGAACTTCAGCAGAAATAAAGGCACTGGCTCACTGAGATTATCCACTAATTACCCTGACATAAAGTGACTGCTGGCTTGCTGGGACAAATCAGCACAGATGTGGACTCTGTCTCCATGTGTTGTCTACCAGTGACAGCAGAGACAAACCTTGAAATGAACTTTTTTCTCTCTTTTTTAATTTTTTCTTTAATCTTGTTTAATGTTTGATCTTGTTTTTATATGAGTGATGAACATGGTTTCTAGTTTCTTTGTTGTTGTTGTTCTTTCTCTCTTTTCCTCCTATATTCTGTACCAGTGTACAATAACTATAGATTGGAATTAGAGTCAGAAAAGAGTACAGTGTCCTAAAAATAAAGTCACTTCAAGAATAATACAGTACTTCAATTTTCTGCTATGAATTTTCTATAGAAATATCAAGGTAGAAGTTTGAGACTTTTTTTTTTAAGCTTTTTTCTTTTTTGATACCAGGAATCAAACCCAGAGCCTAATGCTGAGCTACATCCCCAGCCCATGGTAGAAGTTAAAATACATAAGGAAGGAAAATGTTCGACCTTGTCATCATGGAGCTATCAGCTCCCAAATGGCAGGTGCCAGAGACTTTAGTGTTAAGCGAGGCCGCAGACAAACACAGGACCTGGCACTGAAACAGGTTTTCATTACTTCCTGATAGAGAAGGAACACATTTACTTACCCAGTTTTCTTCTATTACTCCAACATTATATTTACCATCCTCACTTGGGTCTGAGTGCTGCTTCTGCTCAGCAAAAAATTCCTGGAGAGCTGCCAAGGTGTGGGCAGAAAGTCGGGGGGTATCGTCATCTGAGTCACTCATTTCACAAATGTATATACCTGCAGGCCAAGGAGTAAACGTGATGTATGGACTTGGTTCCTCCTTTCATCAAATAACATTTTTTTAAAAATTCAACTCACAGCAAAGACCCCAACTGATGCTTTATGCAGGAAACGCACATATCTAAACCTTCTAGGATTTGCCTGGCATAGTGGCTCATGCTTATAAGTCCGGCGCTTGGGAGGCAGAGGCAGGAAGTGTGCTATGAGATGGAGGCCAACCTGGGTTACACAATGAGTTCAAAGCCAGCTTGAACTGCATACAGAAAGCCTGTCCCCAAAAAACAAAACCTGGCCAGGCATGATGGCACACGCCCATAACCCCAGCACTTGGGAGGCTGAGGCAGGACGATCGTCATGCGTTCAAGGCCAGGCTGGGCTACAAGGTGAGTTCAATGGCAGCCTAAACTACAGAGCAAGACCCTGTCTCAAAAAACCAAAATCAAAACAAAAACCCAAAACAAACCAAATCAAGAAAGCTTTGGGATCAAACACATAGCAGGGGCTTCTAATTCATAAAAGTGGCCACACTTTTTGATCCCTTTTCAAAGGAAATATTTACCACAAATAGCTAGAGATATTTTGCTTCTTTCTGGTGCTCTCAATATGCAGAGCTTTTCTGAGAGGGAGAAATAAATCTTTAAAAATTAAGAATTATTTCCAGCAGTGGATGTTGGCTTCAAAGCCTTTAGATTGAGTTATATTTCTAGCACTTTTTGTTTCCTGCATTCAGACAGTCTTGCTAAGTCTCACTGCTGCCCAGGCTGGGCTCAAACTGGGACCCTCCTGCTCAGCCTCTGGGTGGTGAAACTGTAAGCCTACACCACTATACGCAGGTAAGATTTTTCAGTTTTCTTTCTTTCTTTCTTTCTTTCTTTCTTTCTTTCTTTCTTTCTTTTTTTGGTGGAACTGGGGATTGAACTCAGGCCCTTACGCTTGCTGGGGAAGCGCTTATTCCACTGAGCCATCTCCTCGACCCTCAGTTTTTTTTTTTTTTTTAGAGACAGGTTGCTTCTCACACGTTCCCATTATGAGAACATAAACTGTCAACTCAGATAAATGAACAGGAAAATACCCTCCTGAAAGGAAATATGTAGATGCTGGCCACAGTAGGTCAGGTCCAAAGCTGAGAATGGCTTGGGATTAAAGCAGGACACTTCCTTAGCTACTATCACTGAATTCTGGGTGATAGTATTCACCAGAATACATCACACTGTGCTACATCTCCAGTCCATCTGTCTGTCCGTCTTTTCTTTATTACTTTACTTTTCCTTCCTTCCTTCTTTCCTTCCTTCCTTTCTCCTATCTACCAATCAGCTTAATGCATGTTTTGGATGTTTTTATTTTTTATTTTGAGATAGTATCTCTCTAAGTCACTAAGTTGCACTTACTGAGCTTGAACTTGTAATCCTCCTGCCTCAGCCTCTCCAAGTGCTGCGATCATAAGCATTTATCACCATGCCATCTTTCAGACAATTTTTTATGCTGAATGTCACTGTTTAGGTGAAATAAAGCTCATGGCTATCACTGCTACATATAAAAGATCAATTCAGGAGAGACCAGCATGGTGGCACTCTGCCACAATCCCAGCACTTGGGAGGCTGAGGCAGGAGGAATTCTGCAAGTTCAAGACCAGCCAGAGCTACAAAGTAAGTTCAAGGCCACCCTGAACTACATAGTGAACTGCATAGTGAGACCCAAAAAAAAAAAAAAAAAAAAAGAAGGAAAGGAAAAAAGATAAAACAGAGTGAGAAAGAAGTAAGGTAGTTCTGCAGAAAATGATGGCCAAATATAATGTTATCTTGGGTATGGCCAGGTTCTGAGGTTATGGCTCAGCCCTTCAGCTGGTTGAATCCATAAGTACAAAAGATTCTAAAACCACACTTGTTGACACTCAACAATTTTCTAGAAAGCTCACAGAAATCACTGAAAGCAATTACACTCATGTTAGACAGGTCTGTGGGACAAGGGGTCCAAAATAGGATGTGTTGCCAGGAAATTAAACACAGATCTCAACTATAACGTATTTGTAACCATTTGTCAGGGCTCAGATCCAAAGTGACTCCACAGAGCACAATGAATCTAAGATGCACATGTAATTCTGCTTCCTGATTGGGGAACTCCAAAACAAGCCACACTGCATTCCTGGCTGCCAAAGCCTATGGTGTAATGATACCAGGAAAGAAACTGTTCTTTAAAGACCCTCCTGTAGC